CTCGGCGCTCGGGAGCGGCGGAGTGGGACCTGCCGGGCTGAGCCCGCCCCCGGCGCGGGGCAGTCGCGGGCAGGGCCGGTCACAAGGGCAGGGAGGCGGCGGCGGCCGGGGCTCGGCAGCCGCGCACGCTGCCAAGGCGGTGGCGGCACGGAGAGAGCGTTCGCCTGAAAACGCAGCGCTTTATTCTGATCTCTGCTTCATCGAGGCTACGGCGGTTGTCAGCGGTTATTGGAATACCCCGGTGTAGTGGAGTTAATCGCTTTAAAAAAGCGATGACTAAGAGCGAGTGTGGTAAAAGATACCCAAAACGAAATACAGACCGTAGAGGCAGGGGAAGAGGAACTTCGTAATTTTTTTCCCCCCTCCTTGAAATGTAAACAATAAGTAATTCCGATTGAAAGCCGGGAAACAATAATTGATTTTTTTTTTTTTTTTTGCCTAGTAGATAAATGTTCTGTAACAATAATTACCTTAAAAAGCAAACAGGCTGGCAGTGTGCTGGGCTTTCCCCGCTCCTGTACCCCAGGAACGAGCGTTCTGTGTGCTGTGGATTTAAAGCCGGGAAAAAAAAATTTATTTTTTTTTTTTTTGTGCCTAGTAGATAAATGTTCTGTAACAATAATTACCTTAAAAAGCAAACAGGCTGGCAGTGTGCTGGGCTCTCCCCGCTCCTGTGCCCCAGGAACGAGCGTTCTGTGTGCTGTGGGCAGAGGCGGTATCGGGAATTTCGGTGTTACAGGCTGGGGAATACTGGGAAGGAATTGCATTCTGCTCTGTTTACGGAGTGGGGGCATGTGTCCGTTCTTGGGAGGAAGCTCTGGAATAAACTGTTCGGTTTCCTTGAACTTCCCTTTGCAGCCTTGGTCAGTGTCGGGAGGGGGCTCTGACCTGTTAGACCCCTTGGTTGTTAAATTTTTAAAAATCTCCTTTTTTCCCTCTGGTAGTTTTAAGTCCTGCCCTGTTTGTGTTCGTATTTTCCTGGCAGAGTTGTTTTACGTTCGCCGTGTTTGTCGGTACCGGTGTGTGTGTTACAGTGGGTTTGAACTGCATCACTGGGGTTTAGAAAGTTAAATATTTTATTTATTTACAGGATCAGGATTTCACTGTTGAGACGGCTAAAGTAGCGTTAGATGCTTCCTATCCTCTCGCTATTGGCTCCTCCCACTTAAAGTCTTTGAAAATAGAGATCTGTTTGCACTGGGAAAGAGGGAGCCCGTTCCCAGGATCTCTGCATCGTCATTTCCTGGAGTAATTTGTCTTAAGGATTTTTCCTCATGGAATCCCGATGCTGCTGTTGATGTATCTCTGCTTTTTATTTCTTATCAACTTAGGTCAAATTGATTCCAACCCCAGCTGTGCTTTCTTCCCATAAATTCTTCCTACTTTTGGTCAGTCACCAGACTGCTTTTGCCAAAAAATACGTAAATATAATTCTGATTTTTTTTTTAAATTGGGTGTTTGCATTGCTGTGCTCTCCGGCCTCTCCACTTTAAGCCTGGTCTTCTGAAATATGTTCTTTGTTCTCCTTGCCTTGCCTTCTTCCCTTCTTGGCCTTTTGCAATCTTAGTTTTACACTCTGTGCTGTTGAAATTGTCTATCTTTAATTTGCCCCTGCCCAAATTCCTGAGCCTTTTTTCCCCCCTTCTTCAGCTTTTCTTGCTTGGTTTTTCTGTCACTCTCAGTTTTGTAGAGCAAACCAGGTTTTTAGTTTGTTTTCTTCTATTTCCTTGTGCCTCCATGGATATTCCTATTTAAAAACTGTGGTTCTGCTTTCTCTCTTGACCCTTTATTTTCTTTGAATATTAGGGTTGTTCCTTTGGTGTATATTTTTTTCCCTACTGTGGCCAGGTTTCAGATAACTGTAGCTGCTGCTTATTTGAAATGTTTTGCTTACAGCTGATTAACCAGTCTTATCTGTGCCTCCTGGACTCCTGTTTGTGGTGTGTCAGTACCCAGGGCCTCAGTAAATTCCACACTCTGTGGAGCTGTGCAGTAAAACAGAGTTACTCAGGTGTCTGCCTTGGGCCTGAGGGGGCCGTGGGGAGTGGGCTTGTCCCACACAGAACTGCTCACTCTGCTGTTCCCAGTGTCACAAATCTACAGTCCAGACTGGTAAAGGCTGGTCCATCTTATTTGCTTTTTGTGTTCCTTTTCTCTTAGTGCTAAGAGCTGTTACACCTTTTATATCTTCTGAATACTTAAGGTCATTAAACCCTATACAACCATCAAAGCCTTTTTAGCTTTGGTGTTTTAAAAGTCTAATTACTGAAGTAAAGGCTACACTGAGAGATCATGACTATGACCACCCAATACTGCCAGAATCCCAGAATATTCTGGGTTGGAAGGGACCCACAAGGGCCATGGCATGTTAGTGAATGGCCCATGGAGGGACTGAACACAGCACCTTGGTGTTCTCAGCACCCTGCTCTGAGCAGCTGAGCTAACTGTGCACTGTGGGTTTGGGTTGGCTTTTTTGTTTTAATGCTTGAAAGCTTTTCTGATGCTCACTTCTTGCTGCCCTGTTTGTCTGTTTATACCATGAGACCCAAATACCTGGCTCTGGGTCCATGGACATGGAACTTGGAGTGTCTGGTACTTTCCTGGCACAGATCTTTGTAAAGTGCTGAGTGCTTTGTGGGAGAAATGCTGCAGGAAGTACCAGTAGTGGTTAAAGTCTCAAGTGCTGGACTTCTAGGAATTCCCTTGGGAAGTTACTCCACAAATTAGTGCTCCTTATGTCATCAGCTTTTTCTCAGTGTGTAATCTCTCTTGAGTGCATTCTGTAATGCTTTGTTGTGCTGTAGGTATTAATTCCATGGTCCAGATTGTCCCTTTAATTTTTAGGGAACTGTTTTTAGGAGAAATGAGTGCTAGCTACATAAATCAGCTAACATTCCTGGGCTTCCACTGTGCTCCCAAAGCACGAGGCATAAGCCAGCTCATTTCCTTGTGATCCCATAGTCTTTTACACCAGCTCACATAGCAGGGGGTGGCAGAAGTTTTTGGACCCACATAATTATGAAGTTCTAATTAAAGCTCTGATTTCACATTCAGATTGGCACACATGGAGTTGCAGCAGTAGAAAGCCAAAATGTAAATACAGTACGCCAGTGTAAGTCAGCTGAATCAGTTCTGGGTGGATTCAAGGTCTCCCTCTTGCCTCATGATGGGTGATAAGGGTTCAGTTCTGTAGCTGGAACAGCCGTGTGTGTATTTCTAGGATTTAAGTGTGATCATGTGACAGTTTCCTGGACAGTGCTGTAGGTAATACATCATCCTTTTATAGGGATGTATAAGACAATATTTCCTAGAGCTTTTAAAACTTGAAAATAACTGCTCCCATGTGGGCATTAGGCAGAAGGGCTGTGCCTTGTGTGTTTTGAGGATGTGAAATACAAGTTTCAGTCTCTGGAATAAAGTAATTATTATAAAACTGCATGTTAATACACATTTAGTTTAAAAATAGCATAGTAGAATTTGTGCAACAAGCTCCTGTGTTTTAAAGGTGCTGTCCATTGGGATAAACATCTTAGCAGTTAGAATCATTCTCTGGTTCAGATACCATGCAGGTAACTGCAAATCTTGGTCTTTTCAGCATTAAGAGCCTTCTTTGAAATTCTTGTAAGAGGTGAAATGCTTGTAAGAGATAGGATTGCCAGTCAGATCAGCTTAGCTTTTTATCCATAGAGAACTTCATCATGGAATCTCTGAAAGATATTTCAAAGGTATGTGAAAGATGGTTATTGCTGTTTGAGAGAGTTCTTGGGAGCTGGCAGGGCTGCAGGACAACATTTTATGCTTGGCCAGGAACCCAGCTGGTGCTGGGAAATACAGGATGAGAATACAGTTCTTGTCTTAAACATCCTGTAATCCCAGTAAGGGGATGTGAGACAACATGTGGCTTTAGGGAGATTAGGGGGCAGGAACAAAGAAACCCATGGCAGCGCTGACGGGTACCTCACAGAGCCCCACCCCGTGTTCTCAGGCAGCTCTTGGTGATTTTAGCCAGGGGTTGAAGGCTCAGTGCTGCAGTAGCATCGTGGAAACAACTCCCAAGCAAGGGCAATGGCATGGACTGCCTAAAAAGAAAAATAAAAATTGTTAACTTTTTGTTTTTCCATATAAAGATTAGTGTAAGGATGTTACTTCCCTCCTGCTCTTGTGTAAAAGCAATAGCCTGTTTTGAGAGTTTTATGCTGCCAATGTAAGTTGAATAGAGTGTATAATATAATTACATATTATAATCAGTTATACTTGGCACTAGATCTGAAATGTCTTTATAGTTGGTGGTATACAGTTGTGTAAAATTTCCCACTTTGTGCCATTCTGCCCATTTGAAGGCTTCTCCTCCTCTTCCTCTCCTCTCTCTGAGGTAATTCTCCTTTGCTTCTGCAGCTTCTGTGTCCCCCAGTGCCCTTCCCTGGTCGGCAGCTCTTGGGGTGTGGTTCCAGCTCAGTGCTGCACTCTGTCCCTGGGAAATAAATGGTGGGAACTGGGCCTGCACAGTTGGACTGAACTTCCCTCAAAGGGGAGATACTTGAGTAACACCTAAACAGATGGAAACTTCCTGGAAAATTCAGTTTCCTGTCACAGACATGGAATAAGGGAGATGAAACAAATTCCCATTCTAATAAAACTTAATTATATGGATGATACTGGAGTTTCCATTTGGGATGTCAGCCATGGCTAAGTTGAGCTTGGATAACAGAGTGTTAGGGTGAAAAAAACATGAGTTTTTAAAGTTTTGTGATGGAAAAGTTTAGCTTGGGACTTCTTC